GCACAAATTCAATGGGTTGAATATTATTAATTAACGCATGAATACGTACTCAATGTTTTTCAAATCGGAAAACCAATTCATTCATAAAATGTGTTCTATCAACAGTAATTAACAGATATACTAAAATTGTGTCTTTCATCTCGTGGGTCTCCCGAAATGTTGTGTTGACGTCCACACGTTCTTGCAAGGAACGTAGTTTAAGTATCATGTCAAGATTGTTCTTGTTGGAATTTGAGTCTAGAAATTCGTCAATCGGTTGTTTTGCTGAGGCATACAATATCTGAGCCGATGTCTTGATGATGATGATCGGTTAGATATCTCGTTTCAAAGTGGTCAATTTGGCGAGCTAGTAATGTCGGGGATGGGTTCGAATGATCATTTATTTCCATTCAATATTGCTTTAGTTACATTTATTGCGTGTTACGCGATTCTTCGCTTACGAGTACATTGATATTTCGCTGCCTCGATTAAAGCGGACACTAACTATTTGGAGACCCTAAATCTCAAGGCATTTTCGAATAAGCAAAACTGGGTATAAAACCATACCCCGAACTACAGTCACTCTCTTACAACGAGACGGCTACAAAAGTCCCATTGACTTGCTCATCGTTGATGAGATTTCTGATAATCTTGACAATAACGTTACTGGTGACCTACGTAACATACCACACTTACGAAACCTACCTCTAGCGCATCCAATCACAAGTGACACCACACTGACTATAGATGTACTTATTGGTGCGGATCGGTATTGGGACTACGTAGGAAACCACATTATAAGGGGAACCAGTCCTGTAGCAGTTTCCTCTGCCTTTGGTTATTTATTTTCGGGACCAGTCTATTCAACTAAGAGAAGAGGCCATAATACGAATACATTTCATATTTCCTCGATCAAAACACCAGACCCCGAGCTCGATAAACTTGTCGCCAACTACTGGGACCTCGAAACGGTAGGCATCCATGACACCATCAAAGTAAGCGAAACCAAAGCCACCCATGATGAACAACATCGCCAATTTGTTGATAATTGCTTGTCCAGCAAGGACGGAAGGTATATCGCTAAGTTACCATGGCGACCAGATCATGATATTTTGCCGACAAACTTACAGTCAGCCACCTCACGCACCAGAAATATGATCAACAAATTGCCAAGCGAACTTGTGAAAGTTTACGACACCATCATACAAGATCAACTTAAGCAGGGCTTCATCGAGGAAGTCACCGACGACGATCGAGAAATCGGACACTACCTGCCTCATCGATCGGTCTCGAAGGACAGCGAGTCCACTCCGATCAGAATCGTATATGATTGTTCAGCAACTTCAAAACGGGATCAACCCAGTTTAAATCAATGTTTAGTCACCGGACCGCCACTGCACAACTCGCTGACGTCGATACTAATTCGATTTCGCTCAAACCCAATAGCTATGACGGCAGACATTGAGAAGGCATTTCTGCAGATACAGCTGGATGAATCCGACAGAAAATTCACTAAATTTCTGTGGTTAAGCGACCCGACTGACATTGCTAGTCCCTTCAAGACGTACCAATTTAAGGCAATATTGTTCGGCGCAACCAGTTCACCTTTTACTTTAAACGCGGCACTGCGACATCTGACCGATTCATATTCCGATAATCCTACTGCAATTAATTTGCAAAAGAATTTATATGTGGACGACGTGGTTACTGGCTGTGATACACCAATGCAAGCGTTGCAGTTTTACGAACAATCCACTGAAATGCTCGCTACACGTAAGTTTAACTTACGATCATGGAGTACAAATGACACCCTCTTAAAAAAAACTACGAAAATCGACGGTCGTTCAAGTGACAAAGAAACAGTCTCAATTCTCGGTATTCTATGGAATTCCAGTTCCGATTATCTTCAGGTAAAGAAAATGAAATCTCCCGATTTTGGAAAGTTTACTACCAAACGAGACGTCACCTCTTACAGCGCGAGTTTATGTGATAGGTATTTTTGATGGTTAAAAACCTTTCACTTAGGTAACCGGGATTCGGTCGTTTCCACGCTAGGCTGACAAAAGACACACACAAGCTTCGTTCATGTTCCCAAAACGATTCTCTGCCAAGTCCCTGGTTTTTCACCCGAGACAGCATTAAATCCATCTTTATTTCTTGTCACCCCTTAACCAATTACAATCAGTATAAGAGACTCCAAGGCCTTGCCTTCCAACAAACAACCAATCACATGAAAGTTTTACACATCACAATCAATTAATTACTCGTCAAGCTGTCTAGAGAAAACATTTCTATACATTGTCAACACTAACTAATATTGATGGGGTAATAATCTCGCACTAACATTCCATCAAGATACTACCTTTTTTAAACTCGCAAACAACATTGGTTTAGAATTACAGCTACTGTCTTGTATCTTAAAAACTGCAGAGTCATAAGATGTTTTTGGTTGATTTCGACCAGCTCGCCATCTGGTCTTGTCATTAACCTTTATCAGTATATGTCATGACAACCACTGTCAAACTGACTGAAATATAAATCATGATATTTATACGATCCATTGGGATTGTATTCTCCGGTTCACGTCCGAGCAAAACTACTTATTCAAGCCCTATGGTTAAACAACAGTGATTGGGACCAAGCCATCGATTCTAAATTTCTCCTACAATGGCAAGGCATCGCAGCGGATCTCTATCAAGTAACAAAGAACAGCGAAATTCCACGTAAGTACTTTACAATACAACCTCAGAATGTCGAAATTCATGTTTTCGCAGACGTCTCAGAACGTGCTTACGGTGCTTCAGTATACTTGGTCTCTGAACACGAATCTACACTTGTTATCGCGAAGACACGTGTCACTCCCATTGGTAAACAAGCGTTGACATTACCACGACTCGAGTTGATGGGAGCATTGATCGGAACACGGCTTGGCCAGTTTGTATCTGAATCCCTTAAAGACAATTTCAATATTACCAAACGCCTTCTGTGGTCGGACAATCAGATAACACTACACTGGTTGAACGGGCGAGGGAGACAAGATGTCTTTACTAAAAACCGCGTTTTGGAAATCACATCCCACCATCAAGAGTACCGCTACGTACCCACTTCACAGAACCCAGCTGATCTCTTAACCAGGGGAATTTCTCCGCGTCAACTGAGTGAGTCTCGTGTTTGGTGGTTTGGCCCCGATTGGTTAACTAATAGCGCATTATGGCCGAAATGTGAATTGTTTCCTATCGAAATAACCGAAAGTGTCAACGAACAATTGGATCCTGCGACTGCGCCAAAATGTCTCACAGAAACTGCGATACATCATATGTCAACTGTCACTAAGCCAACTTTGCTGCAAACAGAATTCGGTGACATACTACCCGCTACAAATATGCGTGATACTCCAGTGAATACTGACAATTTTCCGCGCCAAGTTGGATTCAGTATTGACAGTATATTTCAAGTCAATAATTATCGCGATCTCTCTCATTTATTACGAATTACGGCTCTTGTACTACGTTTCGTACATAATATTAAAGCAAAGCTAACTCGACGGCCATTGAACATTTCTAGTCTCAATGGAAACGCACCAACTGCGTCCGAGATCAATGACGCTGAGCACAGGTGGTTGAAAGCTGTTCAACACATTCACTACTCGGACGAAATACTCTATTTACAGCGCCAGGCGAAACAAGTTGGACCACTTTGTAATCAACTCAAGTTATTTCTCGATGATGACGGGATTCTACGAGCAGAGGCCGACTCCAGAACACATCCCTTCCCTATGATAGTATCCATCCATTTTACTACCAGGGAAACACGCTTTCACGTC